TAAAAGAAACCAGTACAATTATTAGAAGACAAACTGAAGTCAGATTTAATTCTGCTAAAAAAAAATCTTCAGGAAGCATCTTAATTATAATCTCCTGTTGCTAAGCCTAAGGCAACAGCTATGTACAAGTACCTTTCAGGCTACTAATTAGGAGGCTGAATGGCTAATCTCTAATTGTGCAATTTACAATTTTTTTAATTACAATATCCTGTAGCATAATGCATTATTTTTCCATTAAGATTGTTGCTAAACTTCATTTATCTAATTCTTCTCTTTATATATATTTTTTGCATTAAAAAATGATAGTATAGCTACATTTTCATTTCAGTAAAAAAGCTATTTCACCTCTACCATTGAAACAAAATAAAACAAACCAAGATTAGCTGATCATGTACTTACTGTAGCTGACCTTGAGAGTATTGTAAGGGCATTTTAAGTGTAGAGTTACACTCCACAAAAACTGCAGGTAGATTTAAGGGAATTTGCATTGAAACTGTTGCCTCTATTCATTTGTCATAGTTTGGATGGATAAAGGTTTCTCTAGTTCCATCTTTTAGATTTTAATTTTGAGGTGGTTTTTTTTGAGGGGGGGCAGTTCAACTTCTCACTTACATGAACAGTATTCCTTCTGTAAAGAAATTTTTGCTTTGAAAAGATAATTCTGGGTCACCACTGTCTAGTATACTTAATTTAACCTGTTGAGTATTTTTTTTTTTTAGAGGTAAAACATATAACACTATTATTAATTTCAGGTATACAACATGATAATTTGCTATTTGTATACACTATAAAGTGATCAACACAGTAAATCTAGTTACCATCCATCACTATACAACAGACCACTTTCACCATTTTGCTCACTGTCAGCCCTCTTGTCCTCTAATCACCAGTTTTTTCTGTTCACCTGTGTTTGGTTTTGCTTTGTCTGTTCTCTGTTCATTTTTTTCAGATTCCACATGTACGTGAAATCATACGGTATTTGTCTTTCTCTGACTTACTTCACTTAGCATGATACCCTCAAAGTCCATTCATGTTGGCACAAATGGCAAAATTACCTTGTTTATGACTGACTAGTGTTTCATTGTCTATACATACACTGCATCTTTATCCATTCATCTATCACAGGACACAGGTTGCTTTCGTGTGTTGGCTGTTTTGTAAATAATGCTGCAATTAAAATGGATGCATCTTTTCAAATTAGTGTTTTTGTGTTCAGCAGACAACTATCCATAAGCTTGATCATATCATAGTTCAATTTTTAGTTTTTTGAGGAACCTCCATAATGTTTTCCGTAGTGACTATACCAATTTACACTCCCACCAACAATGCGCATGGACTCCCTTTCTCCACATCCTCTTCAACACTTGTTAACTTCTGTCATTTTGAGAGTAGTCATCCTAATGGGTGTGTGTTGATATCTCAATGTAATTTGATTTGCATTTCCATGACAGGGATGTTGAACACCTTTTCATGTGCCTGTTTGCCATCTGCATGTCATCTCTAGAAAAATGTCTATTTAGATCCACTGCCCATTTTAAAATCAGATTATTTTATTTACTATTGTTTGAATTCTTTTGACATTTTAGATACTAACCCCTTATCAGATACATGATTTCCATTTCTATTCAGTATGTTGCCTTTTCATTCTGTGGATGATTTCCTTTATTGTGCAGCTTTTTAGTTTGATGTAAGCTCACTTACTTTTGCTTTTGTTGCCTTTACTTTTGCAGTGTGCAGTTGTGTCCGACCCTTTGCAGCCCTTTGGACTGTAGCCTGCTAGGCTCCTCTGTCCATGGGGTCTTCCAGGCAAGGATACTGGACTAGGTTACCATTCCTCCTCTGGCGATCTTCCTGACCCAGGGATCGAAACTGCATCTCCTGTGTCTCCTGAATTGCAGGTGGGTTCCTTTACCCGCTGAGCCATCGGGAAAGCCCTAAAAGACTTTGCTTTTGGATTCAGTCTAAAAATTTATGCCAAGACCAAAGTCAAGGACCTCACTGCCTGTTTTCTTCTAGAGGTTTTCTGGTTTCAGGTCTTATATTTAAGTCTTTAATCCATTTTAAATTAACTGTTGTGTACGGTGTAAGATAGTGGTCTAGTTTCATACATTGCATGTAGTTATAAAATTTTCCACTGTATATTCTTGGCTCCTTTATTGTAATTGACCATATACTTGTGGGTCTATTTATTGTTTTCTATTTTGTTCCACTAATCTGTGTACCTATGTTTATGGTAACATCACACTCTATAACTTTGCAGTGTAGTTTGAAATCAGGGAGTGTGATACCGCTTTCTCAAGGTTGCTTTGGCTATTTGTGGTGTTTTTTTTTTTTTAATTCTATAAAAATTTTACAATTGTTTCTTCTAGTCCTGTGGAACATGGCTTTGTAATTTTGATAGGGATTGCACTGAATCTATAGAATGCTTTTTGGTAATATGGACATCTTAACAACAGTAATTCTTCCAATGTATGAGCATGGAATATTCTTCAATATTTTGTGTCTTCTCTCATCAATGTCTTAACAGTTTTCAGTATACAAGTCTTTCACCTCTTTGGTTAAATTTATTTCTAAATATTTTATTTTTTGATACAGTTGTAAATGGAAGTTTAATTTCTTTGATAGTTGGTTAATAGTTTTAAAAAAAGCAATAGGTTTCTATATATTGATTTTGTATCCTGCAAGAGAATTCATGTTAGTTTTAAGTTTTTTTTCCATGCAGTCTTTCTTTATACAGTATTACATCATCTGTAAATAGTGAGTTTTACTTCTTGCCTCCCAATTTGTATGCCTATTTTGTTGAGTATTTTCAAAGTTAAAAATATCTTGATATCTTCATTTGGAATTTTCCGCTCCTGATGAATCCCAGTGGTATAATCTTTCTACTCAAATTTCTAATGCTCATTCTGGTATTTAACATGGCATGCATTGTTAACGCTGTTTTTGATACTTTTATGGAGTGATTTGTGTTACCTCATGTGTGTGTGTTTCAATTTCTCTAATCTTTTTCTGATGATCTGAGCTTACAAATTAGGCTTCATTTTACCAAGTTTATGTATATATACAATTGGGTCAAGTCTTCAAACTGTTTAATCAAGCACGTCCAATTAGCTGAACATAATTTCCTATGGTGTGTGTATTAGTTGCTCAGTCATGTCTGACTCTTTTAGTCCCCTGACTATACACCACCAGGCTCCTCTGTTCATGGAATTCTCCAGGCAAGAATACTGGAGTGGGTTGCCATTTCCTTCTGCAGGGGATCTTCCCGACCCAGGGATAGAACCCGGGTCTTCTGCATTATAAGCAGATTCTTTACCATCTGAGCCACCAGAGAAACCCAAATTCCTATGGTAGGAGGTCCTGAAATTCCGGCAGAATTGAAGATCTTTAGGTCTGTAGATGCTTAATAACCACACTGAAACGAACTAAGGGCGGAGGGCAAATTCCTTCAAGAAATTATAATAGTATCAGGGCAGGGGCAAGCTATAGCAGCTCAGCTCTATAGCCATTGGTTAGCACCGCAATGGGCTCCTCTCCCAAGCAATGGACAGGGAGCAACTGTCAACACTCAGCTGTCACTGGTTCTGCTCAGCGATTGGACTTCTCTGGTGGCTCAGACCCGTAAAGAATCTGCCTGCAATATGGGAGACCCAGGTTGGATCCCAAGTTCGGGAAGATATTGTGGAGAAGGGAATGGCTACCCACTCCAGTATTCCTGCCTGGAGAATCCCATGGACAGAGGGACCTGGCCGTCTACAGTCCATGAGGTCGCAAAGAGTCAGACACGACTGAGCGACTAACCCTAACAGAGTGGGCCCCTCTCCCACTTCTGTATAAAAGGAGCCTGAATTGAGATTAAGCAGAGGTAGCTTTTTGAGGCCTTAGTCGGCCATCTTCTCAGTCTGCTAACTTTCCAAATAAAATCGTTATTTCTTGTTCCAACAACTCGTCTCCTGGTTTATTGGCCCGATTTATGGCCAGCATAACCAGCCAGAGATGACCTAAGGGCACGAGGCAAATTCCTTCAAGAAGTGCCTTTGGATTTCAAAAATTTTCCGTCCAAAATCTACCTTAACATCTGTAACCCAATACACGTGTATATGACTGAATAAAGAATGTTACTATAGAATACTAGACTATCTTACTCCAATACTTACTCGACTCTCCGAGAGGTTCCTGAAATTTCTCACTCTATTTCATATAAAACAAAAATTGTAGACCTTCCAGGTAGAAACCAGTTAAGCTGACTTCACGAACTACTAAAGGGTCGTTAAAGGCAAATTGAAACCGCTCCTCTATCCGTCTCTGCTGCTGCCCGGTCTTTCCTGGCCCTTTGGAAACGCGGCGCTGGCAGCCGGGAAGGTAACGGCCAGCGGAGAAGTTAGGAGCCGCACCTGCTTACAGCCCTCGACGGGTAGACCGGCTTCTTCTCCGGAAGCAGCTGGGCCCCAACCTACAGCCCGCGCTCGCTGGATGATGCGGAGCTCCACCAGTTTCCCTGCCCTCCGCTTCCTCGAAGTCCGTCCCGCCTCTCATCTGCTCTCAGCCAATTTCGCATCTCCTCTGCGAGGTGGGCCGAGCGCCGAGCAATCGATGCCTCCTCCCCAGCCTCGGGGGCCGCCATTTTGGGGGGAGGAGAAATACTAGTAGAGGCGGCAGCGGCTCAACGGGATGTCGACTGGCTTCTGCTTCTCTTGCCAGCGCTCTGGAGTTCGGGCAGAAGCCTTCATCGGGGCCACTCCTCCGCCTGCCTCTCCGGAATGAGGCCTAAGTTCCCGCACCGGAAAGCCCCCTTTCTCTTCCAAGAGTAAGTAGCACCAGGTGGCGCAGCGCGCCCCCGCGCGCCCTCCTCTGTCAGTTACCCCGCGCGTCCCCGCGGCCGCGCGCCGTTCCCCGCGCGCTCCCTCCCTGCCCCTCCCTCCCCCTCCCAGGCTGGGTGCTCGGCGCAGACTCGCTTGTTTGTTTCTGCAGGAGCCCAAGAAGAGGCCGAAGCCGAGACGATGCCTGGGAAGCTGAAGGTGAAAATCGTGGCCGGGCGCCATTTACCAGTGATGGACCGAGCTAGTGACCTGACTGATGCCTTCGTGGAGGTTGGTGCAAGGTCCTGCCCCTCCAAACGCAGGGAGCGCCAAGCCCTGTGAAGGATCCTAGCCACCTCGCCCGCAGTCCCTCAGCCCGTTCCCGGCCCACCGGCCTGCCGAGTGCGGTGCTTGGCCAGCCCTCCCTGGAGAGCTGACTGCTGAGACTGCAGCCCATGTAATGGGTGCACGGCCCGCAGGCGTCAGCGGCACGCTCAGCCGCGAGGGAAGGCTGTAATTGCTCTGTCTGCAGGGGTGACCCTGATGTCAGGACTCCTAACAGGCCACCCGCCAGTCAGGAGATCCCAAGGCGTGGCCAGGCGGCCACTGAAACACACACACACACACCCACCCACCCACCCTTCTTTGCGGGGAGGGTACCTGGTTTTTTAATGCTAGAGTGATGGAGATGTTGTTTCAGAATGTAGATACAGTCTGTTATGGACACGGGAGAGCTGCAAGGTGATCTCCTCTTTAACAGTGATTTCTGAATCATCAGTGCAAGTTCTGAAACCCAAGTGTAACACTTTTCTGCTCTTGTATAGACTGGTAGGTTTGATGAGCTGTTTCAGGGTAATTTAGTGCCTTGAGGTAGGAAGCCAATTAAGTGCCATGGGTTTAAATTGCAAAATTGCTTCTTAAATCTAATGATTAGTTTAAAACTCATGCAAATTAGCACAGGCCTGGGGCCCGGAAAGTAATAATCCCGAGTCTGAAAGAAGCCTAGTAATACTGTAATAAAAAACTGTCAGGACGAGCCAGAGCATTAGAACAGTAATTGTTTGGGCTATTAATGCTTCGAGTTGATAGATACATGATAATATACAGCCTGATTCCATCTCAATATAAAATACTGTTCACGGTCCCTAAAGATTCTCTAACCTAGACAAACATTGACATTCTTAGTCTCAACTTCATTTTTATTTGAGAAACAGTTATTGAGTGTGTTCTTGGGCCAGATGACAAGTCATGGGGTTGCACAGATTGCAAAAGCATAGTCTTTGCTTTCAGGTATGTCAGAGACTGACCTGCACAGTTTAGGTTAATAAATAGTAGCTCACATGTATTGAGTCTTGTTATTGCCAGGTCTGTGCTAAGTATTTTTCAATTCTTAGTCTTTATATCTTAAATTTTAGTCTTGCATCTTAGTCTTTATATCAGACTTCCCTGCTCACTCAGGCCATAAAGAAGCTGCATGAAGAGCAGGAGACCCGCGTTCCGTGTTCGATCATTGCATCGGGAATATCTCCTGGAGAAGGGAATGGCTACCCACTCCAGTATCCTTGCCTGGAGAATTCCATGGACAGAGGAGCCTGGAGGGCTATAGTCCATGGGGTCACAGAGTTGGACACGAGTGCACGAACAACACACCACCTAGCCTACTATTATTGTATTCTTATTTTCCCATTTACAATGGAAATACCAGAAGGACACAACAGATTTGTTTCTTTTAATATCATATGGACTTTTGTTTCTAAGCAATATGTACACATAATCAATTAAAACATATCTGAAAAGAATCATGATACCTGAGAAATGCTATGAAGACTTGCTGGTACAGAGGAACCAGGCAAGTTCAGGAGCCAGGGGAACATGTTCTGAGATAACATTTGCATTGTCAACCTGTATTGACTGTTTTTACAATTAAAAATGCTTTACAACTTGAAAAAAGCCTAGGAACAGTAAATAATTTGCCAGAGGTAACTTAACCTTGTAATTCTCCATAGCCTTGTGGTCTGTTAATCCACTGTGCTCATACTGCCTTTCCAGACAAGATGATGGGTGTTTCTGTAGACTCTGGAAACTTAATTCTGTCTCTGAAGGTTGAGGCGGTCTTCCTAAGAAAGAGACATTGGAGCTGGGCTTTGTAGAATACCCAGAATTTTCCAGGCAGAGTGGAAAGCCGCAGAACATCAGAGGTGCAGAGTGGGATACATGGTGTGTTGAGGAGACCAACTTACTTTGTGATCTGCTTGGTGTCAGAGGGGATATGTGGGTAGTGGAGCTTTTGGGGGGTTAAAGCTGGAAAGGTAGGTTTGCGCCAACCTCATTTTCTGTATTAAAGGCATTTTCCTTTATTTTGTGAGTGTAGGGAAGACTGGGGAAGTTTTTCAAGCAGAAATGAAATAAGATCATTTTTGTATTAGGTTGTTTCTAGGATGACTTGAATGGTGATGTTATTGATAGACTGGATAGATGAGAGACAAGGAGAGAGGCAAGGAGATCAGTTGAGAAGGTGGTAAAATTATCCAGACAATGTGTACATGTTTAGAATGATAGTGGGAATGAATTAAAGGCGGAAGATTTGAGGGACGTTTCTGAGGTAACATTCTCAGGCCTTGGTAACAAATGGTGTTTGCTGGAGAGGGAGGGTTGGATTTAACCATGACTCATTCATTCCTTCTTTCAACAAATAGTTACTGAGTCTGCTGTTTGCCAGGTCTTGTAGTCACCAATCTAGCTGGTAGTCACCGATAAAATATTCTTGGTTCCTGTTTTTATGGACTGTATATTTTGGTGGGAGAACCAGACATTAAAAAGTAAAGGGAAATTAAATTTATAATTACAAATAGTGGTGAGAGTCATGAAAGAAAAGCAATAGAGAATCTCAGCAAGTTTACGTTTACTATTTGCCTGAAATTATCATGACGTTGTTAATCGGCTATACACCAATCCAAAAGAAAAAGTTTAGAAAAAATTAAATACCATGTACTTGTACCCTTTTAGAAGTAGTAGACTATTAAAAATTTAATTTTCATAGTCACTGTCCTGGAGTGAAAAAATAAATATATGCAGATACACTTTTCTAATTGTCAGTAACTAGTGAAAAAGAAGAATCATCTCTGGGACTTTAGGTTGGATTATCAACGGAGGCCCCCGAGGAAGTGCCAGCTAGGCACAGAGCTGCTGGGTGAGAAGGAAGAGCTGCGTGGTGGTGGTGGTGCATGTGTGTGTGGTGGAGAGGCTGGAGGAGAAGAGCGCCGCAGCAGAGCGAAGATCCTGAGGATTGGCTTATTTCAGGAAGTGAGGGAAGAGATGTGTGCAGGCAAGCAGTAAGGGAAGGAGTGAGTACTGTGAGATAACACTGGAGTTAGTCAGGGAGCCAATTGTGCAGGATCCTAGAGGCCACGACTGAAGTTTGGATTTGATTCTCAGTTCAGTGGGAACCTCTTATCAAGATGAGTATTTCTGTTACTGTCTGGAGAATGGACTGCAGAGGAGAAAGAGCAGGCAACTAGTTAAGAGATTTCATAATAGTTCAAAAAAGAGATCGTGAGGGTCAAGGTGATGGTTTTGGTAATAGAAGTGGATGGATTCCAGATACACTTTGAAAATAGTAGAGGAATTGGTAGGTTGGAGTAGGGGCCAGGGAAAGGGAGATGTAAAGATGATTCCTAGCTTTCTGGTGTCACTGGAGTAATTTTCTCAGTCTTCATGGGGTTCAGAGAGATTGATTGAGTGGGCTGAGCATAAGCTTCCATTTGGGCATGTTCAGTTTGAAGTGTCTTTGGGTCCTTTAATTGGAGTTATTGAGGAATAAAGGTCGGATTTGTGACTATGGTGTTTTGAAGAGAGGTGTGAGTTAAAAATAAGCTCCCACAGTCCAGTACTTCTCAACTCTGTGAGACCCAATCTTGCGTTTATATAGCAGGTATTTTGGAATCTTCCCTTTACTGTCTTTACATGCTCACAATTCTAAAGAATCAATATAATGCTCTAACTGTAATATGATACAGAAATGAAAGTATTTTATAATATGTATTTTAATATGGACATACTTGTTAATGACCATAGTAGAAGACATGAAGTAGTCAGATTGAGTCCATGATATTTATTGAGGCGTTGTATATATCAGATACTGTACTGGCTATAGTACAGCATGCAGGCATAGGGCAGTGAGCAAAACAACTTCTGTAGTCATGGAACTTAGCTTTTAGTCGGAGGAGAGAGTTAATCAGGAAAATTGTTAAGTAAGAGAGACTATGCAAGGTGGTGAGAAGTGCCCTATGTGGAGAGAATAAAGCAGGGATTCAGGATAGCAAATGCCTCGCCTCCATGTCCAATATCCTGAACATGACTGCTCCTCTCACAGAGTGAGATGGTTGTGTAGTGTTGGCATCTCAGATGGGCCTTCACTGCCATAGGTTATCTGATTTTCCAAAATAGTCAGCTCATGGGAAAAAACTTGTCCACTAATTTTCACAGTGGTTGTATTTCTTGACAATTATTTATATTAAAGTGAGTGTATATTTAAACCCCATTACAATACTTACATTTGTAAAACTGAGTTAGGTTCTAGGTAGGTTTTTGACCCATCTGGCTATCTGGTGGGAACATTTGATAGTCATGACATGGGACAAGTCTTCATTGTTGGGAACTGTCTCTTGAATTGCAGGACACCTAGGATCTCTGGCCTTCTTCACTTAATACTACTACTATTTTTCCCAAAAATACCCACTGGCAATTTTTAAAGTTCCCTTGGAAGTTGGTTCTGTCCCTTTTGCAAACCACTGACTTAGGGGGAGAGAAGAGGGAGCAAGAAGAAGGATGGATCCTTGAATGAATTTGACATTAAGAATTTATTAGAAGTTGAAAATTGGAACGAAACATATTGTCAGCCAGTGATTTTAGGAGAGAATCAGGAAAGTAATGTCTTAGAAGGCGTTGACACTCAGAAGGAGTGACGAGGCCGGAAGCCCATACAGTAGTAAAGTACGCACGCAGGAGGGCTTCCCAGGTGGCGCTCGTGGTAAAGAACCCACCTGCGGAGACAACAGACATAGTAAGAGACCCAAGTTCAGTCCCTGGGTTGGGAAGATCCGCTGGAGGAGGGCATGACAGCCCACTCCATGGGAGAACCCCATGGACAGAGGAGCCTGGAGGGCCACAGTCCACAGGGTCCCGAAGAGTTGGACCCGACTGAAGCGACATAGCACACATGCCCTGAACACGGGAGTAAGGAAATAAGGGTGGCGTGAATAGGCAGCCGTTTCAAGAAATGTGACTGTGAG